GGTGTCTCTTATGAACGCTACACCCTCTCACTTATCTGATTGTGTACTGGATCTTCGTACAATGCTAAGACGTTAAACTATATATTTCTCTACCGCCGCGAATATTCCAGGACACAACATATATATATATATATATGACTTAAATATTCGTGGCGGTAGAGTGATTGAATTTTTCGTCCATGTGATTCACGAATATCTAGCACATAAACAGATAATTAAAGAGAGAATGAAAAAATACCAGAAAATTCTTACATGGAAAACAAAGAGGGAAAAATAACGCGACCTTGCCCAAGTGAAACGATCACTGCAGGAAAACGTCATTTTTCGGCGGCTTTTTACACCAGAAAATGAATGAAATCCGTCCGTAATTTATATTTTAAGCAGATTTCCGACAAAAAATTTTCCAATGGTAAATCACATGTTAGAAAAAAAATGCCATCGAAAAAAATCTGCCGGAAATATTTCCGGCAAATTTTATGTCCTAGATTTCTTGAAACAAAAAATAAAATTATTATTTAGCTCATCTGTGAACTTCGTTGCAATCACCAGGCCCTCGATTCAAGCCGCCTTGCACTCCGCGGGCCCATGAACCAAGCCTATCATGCACACAACCCGTGAACTAGACCAGCTAGTGAACCGCGGGCTCGTGAACCAGCCCCGCCCAGCGAACCAAGGGCCTATGAACTTGGCCCGCAATGCACTCCACCCGTGAACCAGACCAGCCAGTGAACAGCTCAGTTATGCCCACTAGCGTGGATTGCCTTCAGCAGGGTTCAAACCCCACCCCCCATCTGCACGCGCGAAAACCTTACTGCGGTCTACCATCTGGCCAATTAAGAAAAGATGTTAAAATCGATACTTTATTTTATTTAAGTTATAACTTCTAAATATTAAAAGTAATAATTTTTTTTGAAATAAATTTTTTTTAAAGATAATGAATAGTTAATTTAATTTAATAATTAATTATTAAATTAACTTAAATTAGTTAATTTAATTTCACAATAAGTTATTAAATTATTTAAGTTAATTTAACAAAATAATTATTTATAAATATTTATTATTGTTAGTTGTTAGAAGAATTTAATTTTTGTTGGAAATTTTATCGGAAATAAATCCATCGGAAATAAATAAAAAAATTCGACTGATCGAAATTTTTCGTCGGTAATCAGATGGAATTTGTGAAAATTTTATTTTCTCAGGAAATGAGCTATTCCTGCAGTGGATTCCACTAAATTTGAGTGAATTTTAAAGGTTGACCTGCCCCTTAAGTCAGAGGTAGTGCAATTACAATTGTTTGGAGAGTTCGTCCAAAGTTCGACGATGGCCATGTGAAAGTCTGATGATAAGTAAACTATAGTTTGGTGGAGGTTGGTGGTCAGTGTCAAATTCTAGTTTGGCCATCCAGTCATGTCCAAGCCCAATTTCTGACTTCAGAAAAAGCCTTTTCTGACATTTTTGGAGTCTGTGTGATTGTTTTTCGACATTTCGGACAAAAAATTAACACTTTCGGAGCATCTGAGCCCTATGCACCTCATATCGAGACATTTTAAAATTCCAAATAGTGTCAAAAATCATCCAAAAGCTGTAACACATTTTTTCCGACTTCTAGAACTTTGATGTTTGAAAATACGGGGGCAACTAATATATTATCAACAATTTATCTTGATCTGGCAGAAATCTCGAGGGGAATTTTGAATTGGAAACTTTCATAATTAAATTTAGAACCATCTGAACTCCGATCTCAACAAACTTATGATCGAACTGAAAATCTCGAAAAGGCGAACCCAACGACATCAAATTTGACTCAATCAGCGCCCAAATGAGTCCAAATCGAAGTCCTTAAAGCGCCTCTGAAAGCTTCAAACATTAAATTGGATAACCAAAAGCTTTCCAAATGTGACATGCTTATTGTCGAGCGGATCAACGGGACGAATCAAACGAGCCTAAGGTCACCGAATTTTGATATCATTAAGACATTCAAATGCCTAGTAAATTGTCCACAATCAATGGGATCAATATCGATCGTTCATTCAAAACCACTCCCAATATATCATTGACATCCCTCCTATTTATTAGCCATGTCACATTTAAAAAACTATAAATAGTTCCATCATTCTTAACAGAAGTGGACTCAATCAAGAAAAAGAAGAAAGAGCTCTCTTGCCACTAGACTCATCCTCGACCACCGCTAGACCACTAATCATCATCTGCGAATCTCCGCCTGGCCATTGATCATTATCGAACTTCCATCTAACAGCAGACTGCTGTCTGACTTCAATCTCGCCACCAACTACTATCGGACTTATGTTCGACAACCTATTGTCGCCAGATTCCCGTCCAAACATTTTTAGTTGCTTGATTTCAATTTGACGATCAATTATTGTAATTTGATTTTTCGCAAGTTGTAGGACGAACATTCATTTGTAATCTATTCAAACATTAATAGATCAATTTTAACTAGACATGACCCCGTGGTTTTTTCCCTTCAGGATTTTCCACGTAAAAAAATTAAGGTATTTCTTATTTCTGTGTATGAGCTGGATAATCGTGCAAGGTTAAGACATGAAGTTTTTCTTACTTTACGCCCGCAAACATTCTAGCCCACAATAAGAAAGCAACAAGAAAGTTGTTTCAAACATATCCTTAGTTATTTTGGTTGCAGAAAATAGTTTTTTGTCGTAGAAATTTTTGAGAAATAATGAAAAAGGAAATGCCAATCGAAATTATAATTAT